CGGGGTCGGTGCGCGCGGGGGGTCCCCGAGCTCGGCTCTGCGGGCGAGATGCCCCTGGGACACGTCATGCGGCTGGATCTGGAGAAGATCGCCCTGGAGTACATCGTGCCCTGCCTGCACGAGGTCGGCTTCTGCTACCTGGACAACTTCCTGGGCGAGGTGGTGGGCGACTGCGTCCTGGAGCGCGTCAAGCAGCTGCACAGCAACGGGGTCCTGCGCGACGGCCAGCTGGCGGGGCCGCGCGCCGGCGTCTCCAAGCGCCACCTGAGGGGCGACCAGATCGCGTGGATCGGGGGCAACGAGGAGGGCTGCGAGGCCATCAGCTTCCTCCTGTCCCTCATCGACAGGCTGGTGCTGTACTGCGGGAGCCGGCTGGGCAAATACTACGTCAAGGAGAGGTCCAAGGTAGGACGCGTCGGGCGCGCCGGGGCCGGGGGCAGTCCGAGTCCGTGGTCTGTCGCCTTCGCAGGGCTACAAGCGAACTTTAGATTTTAACCGAGAAGCGAGGAAGAACTGGTTTCCCCAGCCCCAGGGAAAACCCGTGCTGAGGGACTTGGGTGTATAATTATGACCTTCTGATAACTTTGAAGTAGTGGCTCTAGTGGGGGGTACAAGCCGGGCAAGCTGGGGCTTTTTGGTCTGGTTGTAAGACACGGAGGTTCTCAAAGGTGCACACGAGGGACAGGTGGTGTATGATTCCAAGACACACGTGAACTTATGATCTTAAATGTCTGCTTTAAAGTCAGCTACTATTTGCCCTTCATTGATTTCAAAGGGGATTCGTGTGAAAGCACTTTTAAAGAATTCTGGAGACGGTTGTGATTTTGCAATGTGGCATTTGGTTTGTGGAGCTTGGCAGGTGTGGGAAGCGTTTGCCCAGTGAAAGAGCAAAGCTCCTCTTCACGTTTGAGTGCTGCCCTTGGCTTGTTGCACCCAGGACACTTGGATCATCTGCTTGATTGTGAAAATGCTTTCCTGGTGCTGAGCCCACACCACCACCTTCCCTTTTCTAACTTTCAGTTGATAGAAAAAACCTACTCAAAACCACCAGTTAAGTGATCAGGAGAGGGTAGTTAAGTACCTCTGGAAATAAATTATGTTTTTGTTCACAGCCAGAAGTGACTCCCTGGGTAGAAATTTATCTTGGGAACATTTCCAAGTAGATTGGCAGAAATATGGGAATGTGTAGTACCATGTACGTTACTTAGAGATAGTCTAGCTACTCAGTCTTTTCTACAAATGATAGTCCAGCCTATTTTCCAGTGGCAGTTCTGAGTGATCTGCATTTCTTTTATTGTGGACTGGACAAGGGGCACTCAGAACTTGTAGAAAACTTTTACTTTAGCACAAGGCAAAACATACTAGAGAGAAGGAAGGTGAACATTCACCTATGTACCATTCTTTAACCATATAGGTAGTATTTCTCATCTTAAGATTGATCCTGTGATAACATAACATTGTTGTCTCATTTGTCTCATAAGCTGAGAGGAACGCTCTTTATATAGGGCAAGTGGTGAAGACTGGAAATGTGTAGAAATGAAGGGGTTGGAGTGGGTGAATGGAGTAAAGGAGAAATAGATTGCTGTACACCTTTCAAGCTAGAATGACCTGAATAGAATATCTGAAAGCATCGTTATTAATTGCACGCAAAAAGTAAATCTTAGAAGAAAATGTTGCTTTCTAACTTTTACTTTGAATTGGGGAAAATTCAGAGTTAGCTGTACTCAGTAGAAGATTGACATTACTGTTTCTGTACTCTCCTTCCATCATTTAGGTGGTGGATAAGAAAGCTGTTTGTCTCCATCAGCCTTATTTTTGCACCTTGCCCATCAGAGAGCAGGGTGGGGAGGGGAAGGGAATGGCTAGCCTCAGTATTGCAGAGGTGCTTGTAGCTTCAACTTGGAAGAGCAGATGGCTTTTTACCAGTTTTTAAAACTTTCTTTTACACTTAGGTATTAGGAATCCCAGCCCGCCACCCCCATCCCCTGCATTCTAGGAACAGAATTTGCTCTGAGGGAGGTCAGAATTAATTGGCAGAAAGAGGTCACTAACATGTTTGAATGTTAAATATTTTTATTTAGCTTTGACTTAATGAACAGTGGTAAGGTTTTAGGCTAGAATTTAACTCCACAAACTGAATGAAAAGCACTGTGTATGTCTGGCTAATGATAAAAAGATCTATAGATATGATTTTTCAATTATGGATTATCATCTGGGTAGAACAAGAAACTTTTCAGTTAACGCTTTCAGTTAACAGAATGTGACTGTGAACTGGAAAGAGAAAATTCCTCTGTTGTCCACTGAAGAGATGTCTATCTGTCCATACCTAGATTTCTGGCCTTCCTTTGGCTGTTTTGGCACAGAGCTGTTCATTCCTTCCCTTTAGAAAAATCACCTCTAGATTGGGATAGTCCTGACCAATTAGAACCAAATGCAAACCAGGCTTGAGCAAACAATTGTCATAGTAATTTTTTTTTGTAAGTTTGATTTGCTTGTATAAAGAAGTCTCCTTAAGCCCTAGCCAGTTTGGCTCAGTGGTTGGAGCGTCGGCCCGCGGACCCAAGGGTCCTGGGTTCGATTGCAGCCAAGGGCGTGGACCTTAGTTGCAGGCTCGATCCCAGTCCCTGGTCGGCGCGAGAGTGGGAGGCAACCAGTTGACAGGACACATCCATGTTTCTCTCTCTCTCTCCCCCTCTCTCTCTCTCTCTCTCTCTCTCTCCCACCTTTCCACTCTCTCCAAAAAGCAGTAGAAAAAATATCCTCGGATGAGAATAAACAAAGAAAAGAGGTCTCCTTAGTAATGCCTATGGCCTTGGGTCTCTTGTTTGAAGTTCATTATTAAAGCATTGCAGAAGCACATTCCATTTCTACATGATTTATATTAGCTTCACCTGAACCTGACCTATTTCCTTCTCTTCCTTCAGCTGAGTACCTGACTTCGTGCTGCTTCCCAGAGTAGTGATACAGACTCAGTTTTCTTGCTGCATCTTCAAGCAGGTTTCCAGAAAAACGGAATTTTTAAAAAGCAGAACATGCAGATTTATTTTTAAAAATTATTTGTAATTTTTTATTATGAATATTTTCAAACATATATTAATTTAGGGAGGCTAATATAATGAGCTCCCATACTCCATTTTCAACATATGCCAATACCTACGTTTATTTTTGACCAGTTGTTTTACAGGTACTTTAAATTTCTTGGGGTTATGCTTATTAGTGTATTGCTCCTAATTAAATACCTTTTTCCCCCTGGATTTTTAAAGGTCATTGAATAATGTAATAATGCCCTTTATGTCAATAAAGCAATAGCAAAAGCATTGGGAATAAAATAGGAACGTATACTGGAATTGAAATTGAAATTGTGGAAGAATATGGAAATAAATATTAAAAGGTTCCCTCCTCCCTGCCAAAAAAGTTATTACAGGCCAGAATTTATCTACCTCCACTTTGCTGGAGAAAAGTCCTAGGGTGCCCAAGACTCTGGGGGCGTGGTTTCCTATAATGCGGCACAGCAGTATGGTGCCCCCTAACTGCAAGCCCGATCACTGCTTTCAGGCTATCAAAAGATTTACCTGTTTCTTCCTTTTGGAGAATTTAGACCATATCCAAGATAAATACTGGTTATAATTTACTCATTTTGCTTTGGCTGCCTAGAAAATGGCTATTTTCCAGCGAACGTGTAATTTATAGAACCGAATGTGCTTCTGCTTGAAGCATCTCACCAGAGACTCGCTAGTGAGTTACTAATAATAATAACTACATTTTAATGAGTAGTTTGCTCTGTCTGGCACTTTACTAATAAGCACTTTACAAACACCGTCTGACTTAGTCTTCAGAACCACAGTCTTCAGCAAATTGAGTGATTAAATCTTTTGCACAAGGTCACAAAGTCAGTGGTAAGAAGCAGTTTATCATAAAAGTTAGGGGAAAAACTCACAGACACAGACGATAGCATGGGATTCCCAGAGGGGCAGGGGGGTGGGGAGAGGTAGAAGAGTGTAAAGGGGGGATAAATGGTGATAGAAGGAGATTTGACTTGGGGTGGTGAACACACAGTACAATTTACAGATGATGTATTACAGAAATGTACGCTTGAAATCTATATAATTTTATTAACCAGTGTCACCCCAATAAAGTCAATAAAAAAAAAATAAAAAGAAGTTAGGGGCTTAGGCTGGGGGTTGCTGACCTTGTAGCCTTAGGTGAGTTGCTCAGTTTTCACCAAGTGTAAAATGAGGGATTATAATACCTTAAAGCTTTGCAGGGAGGGAGCATTAAATAAGGTAATGTACGTAAAATGCTTAGAATTCCGAGCCTTCATAAGTGTTATAAGGCTGAAAGGGGAAGATGTGGGATTCTGACCCAGTTCTGTCCGCCTCCAGAGTTTGTGTTCCTGACTGTGATGCTCCTACTTTGCATCCTTTCAGTTACGCAGCAAGTGCTCACTCAGCACGGCTACCGTGCAGGGCGTGGGGCAGAGGTGAGCCGGCCTGATCCCTGCCTCATGGGCCTTAACATTCACTTCGACTTTTGAATTGCGGGATCCTCTAGTTCATACTCCATTAATTCTGAAGTCTAAAAAGAGAAAAAAGTCAAAACCCAAACATTGAAGTGGGTCAGCTAAGTACATTTGAGGAAGAAAATGGAAGGCCATGCTAACCTTTTCCTACTGTTACTGGCAGGGAGAGGAACTGTTAACAAGGTTGCTTGTTCGGATCCCTGGCTAGAGTAGTTCTGGGTGATGGGATTATGGAGGTTGTATTGTGAACAGAGAGATGAGTCCTCCCCTGGAAGCAATGCAGAGAAGTGATGAAACAGCAATAAGTTATGAATGAAAGAAAATGTGAAGTGGTGGGCTTGTTGCTTTGCTGTTTAGCAGTAACAGTTTTGGCCTACGCTTCTCATGTGATGTCAGGAATATCCATTACTCGGAGCTTTTCAAGGTTGCAAACTGCTTTAAGCAAAAATGAGATAATGTACTTCGAAGATCAGGATCTCTCTCAGGACCCAAGTGCCGGAAATGCAGTCACGGTTCACTGAAGACTGGAGCCATCAACTACGAACCAGAAAGTCCTTAACACCCAGGACAGCTGGCGTGTTAGTTCTTCCTCTGGCGCTTTATGGCCTCCGTCTTTGCTTCTCTGCTCCTGCCCTTTATTTCTTCTCTCTCTACTTTCTGTCCAGCTTTTTCTGCTTTTCCATGCACGTGGCTCAAAATGGCTCCCCCACAGTGGCCACCTCAGCCTCAGTTTGAGATCAACAGACACTTGACTAACATTCTAGAATCTCCTTTTCATTGCCTTGGAGAAAGTTTGATGGTCTTGCCTTGGCTCAGGGGACCCGTCAGCCTGGGTTGGGGGTGATAGTGGGCATGGGGAATCATATATCACAAATGTGGATGCCTG